CTCTCTCTCTCTCTCTCTCTCTGTTTTACTTTAATAAGTCTTGCTAAAGAAGACATGAGAATCTTGGTTTTAGTTTGAGGCAGCTTCCAAAGAATATAAAACCGAAAACATAGAAGTGATGTGGATAGATATCTAATTAGTTCCATTTGTCCGGCTTATCTAAATTGATTGGAAAGAGATGAAAAAAGATTGCAATTACTTTCAACAGAAGGTGCTTACTGTTGTCTGTGCCATTGTTTCTGCCCAATTGTTATAATGAATTCAAAAGAGGTACCGCATAACATGTTTTAGTTTGGCTGAAGCACCCTCCCACAAGAGGATTAAAAATTGTAGCTCCTTTAAGGGTTGTTCCCAATTGTTTGCCCACATGTAGCTCTTTATTGACAGTTCTAGCAGAACTGTGGCTTGGTTATACACATCTGGACCAACAAATAATATCATTTAAAACAGCTTCCTGAGCTTTACATAGGCTTAGATCAGTGTTTCTCAACCTTGGTAGCTTGAAGATGGGTGGACTTCAACTCCCAGAATCCCCCAGCCAGCTGTGCTGGCTGGGGGATTCTGGGAGTTGAAGTCCACTCATCTTCAAGCTTCCAAGGTTGAGAAACACTGGCTTAGACGATCCTAAATTCAAGAATAGATATTTCATTCCCAATAACATGCCTACTCTTGCTATTAAGACATTTTCCCCAGTGTTCGGTTGGAATTTTCCTCCTGCACACTGGGTTCATAAAATAAGTCCTAGTCTTTTTCTGTGTGACACTCCTTCAGATGCTCTATGGATGCTCTCATTACTCCACTCCATCATTTTGTTTCAATAACTACCTTATTTCTTTCAATCTTTCCTCAAAGGAATAAGTTGCCAGACCACCGATCATTATAGTTGTCTTTCTCTGAACCTGTCCTACTTTGTCTTAACTTCTTGAGTGTTTGTGTAGAGCAAGGCATATCGGTGGTGGGATGTGTCTAACATAGAATAGATGGAACTATTTTACCTTTTTCGTGGGAGACAGATTCTTCATTTCAGTTACTTAAAAGAAGAAAAGAAAATATCATGTCACTACTACAAATCATTCACACAACATCTAGATATATTCTTCCATGTCATCTTGTCAAATTAACTGTTCTTTCATAATATGTGACAAAAAAAAAACACGCTAGAGTTATAAGGAAAATGTCAGCTGTAATGATGCTGTTCCTTTGAAAACACTAGGAAAAAATGCATCAAAACCCACTATTTCAAGCAGATTATGCATTGTGTCTTTGAGACTGCCATTCTAAAATAACAAATATTGTTACATGCAAATACATATAATTGCCTTTATATTTAGTTAAAGCTTAGTTAAGTTAGTTAGTTAAAGATATCAGCCATCAATAGAGAAACAGAAGCAGACCACTTTCCACACCATTCAAAAGAGAAAATAATAAAGCTTAGAAGAAAGCAGTAAGATCAGAACACATCCTCTCCATCCTCACATTTCAAGGAGAAATGGCTATGGATATTCTCAGTCATCCAGGTCATAGTTGTGCCAAGGGTGCTTTCTCAAAAGGCAACTGGACTTTGTTTTTTCCTTGAAGACATTTCACTTCTCACCCAAGAAGCTTCAGTCAGAACTCAGGAAGCTTCTTGCATGAGAAGTGAAATGTCTTCAAGGAAAAAACAAAGTCAATACGTTGCTGACTTTGTTTTTTCCTTGAAGGCATTTCACTTCTCATGCAAGAAGCTCCCTGAGTTCTGACTGAAGCTTCTTGGATTGAATTTAAACCAGAGTTGTTCCTACTGGGTATCTTTCCAGAAAAAATTAGTAAGGAAAATGTATATTTGATCATACATGTAATAACAGCTACAAGAATTGTATATGCTCAAAATTGGAAATCAGAGAAAATACCTTTAGAAGAAGAAGTAATTAATTTTTTTTTAGATTGTGCAGAAATGAATAGATTAACTGATGATTAAAGATAAGGAAGAATCAGAATATTTTAAAACATGGAATTATTTTTATAGTTGGTTGGAAAAGAGATATAAATGACTGATATCATGATTATGTATAAATGATGATTACAATATTGATTTAGCAATGAAATGTTAGAATGGTTTGGATGAAGATGAAGATAGAAGAAACTTATGGAAGATGGAGAAGAAGCCTAGAAGATAACACCGAGATGTCACAGGGAAGGGAGGATTGACGTATTAAATGTTTGTTTGTTCTTAAAAAATAAAAAAAAATTACTAAAAAAGAGAGGAAAAAACAAAGTCCAATTGCTTTTCAAAAAGCACTCTTTATTTTATTTTATTTATTTATTTATTCAATTTATATGCTGCCTCTCTCCGAAGACCCAGGGCGGCTCACAATACACTCAAAAAATCACTATAAAAACACTTAAAAATTAAAAACATTAAAAACATTAAAACCCATTCACGCTATTTATGGCCGGATCTCGTCAGATCGCAAAGCGAGATCAATGGCCCCAGGCCTGCCAGAAAAGCCAGGTCTTCACCGCTTTCCAGAAGGCCAATAGGGTGGGGATGGTCCAGACCTCAGGAGGTAACGGGTTCCAGAGAGCTGGGGCAGCCACAGAGAAGGCGCTCCCCCGCAGGCCCGCCAGCTGGCATTGTTTAGCTGACCAAGGATTGGTAGTTCCAAGAGTGGCACCTACCAAGGACAGTACTGACAGGGCAAGCTACTGTACATAAACAGGGAGCCAACTCCACATGCACTAGCACTGGTAATGTGATTTAGTTGGGTAAGCAGCCAAGCTCATAGAGCACCATATATTTCTCACTGATAGACCAAAGAGAAACATACTGGATGCTCACTTCATGGAGTCAATAAGAACACATCCACATGCATGATTTTTCATGATAATGGACTGTAATCCAACCAACCTATTAACTCATCTCTACATGTTTAAAAATTTCCATAACCACCATCTGCAACCACCTGGTTTTTTTTTTTCCTGTCCCCTCCCTCTGAAGAAGTGCTTCTTCTAAGTTCATCAGCTATCTCCTCCCACTTATGACTGTATGACTGTAACCTTGTTGCTGGTATCCTTAAGATTTATATTGATTGTTTCCCTATGCCTATCATTAAGTGTTGTACCTTATGATTCTTGACAAATGTATCTTTTCTTTTATGTACACTGAGAGCGTATGCACCAATTCAAATTCCTTGTGTGTCCAATCACACTTGGCCAATAAAGAATTCTATTCTATTCTATTCTATTCTATTCTATTCTATTCTATTCTATTCTATACCTACCAATGGGAATAATTAAAAAAGAAAACATTTCTTCAGAAAATATTTTTCCTTAACCTTATGCAAATGTATTCAATGATATACAAAGGTGTGACAAAATATAAATGAAAGAAAAGTGGGGGGAAACACTTGCTTGTCTGCAAAAAGAAATATCCCTGGATAAAGTGAGATTTATTTTCACATAGTTTACTATAGGATTAACTTTATAATAGAAGCTTAGGCACATTTGCCTTTAAATTAGCTATCTTGAATTAATTCCTGAGTAAGCACAAATATATCATTTTTTTAAAAAAATGACACCCTTACTACTTACATCAGGTTTCTCAAGCTAGGTCCCTCCAGTTCTGGGGCTTATAACAGTCTCGGTTCCTATAGTTAAAGTTTATAACATCTGTAATCCCAGACACCACCAGGCTCACAATATACTGCTAGATTTGTATTACATATGCAAATCAGTGAATTTGGGATAGGTTACTCTTGGCCCTCCAGAGTTATTGACTGTAATTTCCATCATCGAGCAACAATAGAACTAACACTTAGACTTATATACTGCTTCATACAGTGGTGGGATTCAGCCAGTTCGCACCACTTCGGGAGAACCGGTTGTTAACTTTCTGAGCAGTTTGGCAAATTGGTTGTTGGAAGAAATCATTAGGGCAGAGAACCAGTTGTTAAATTACTTGAATCCCACCACTGGCTTCATAGTGCTTTACAGCATTCTCCAGGTGATTTACAATGTCAGTATATTGCCCCCAACAGTCTAGGTCCTCATTTTACTGACCTTGGAAGGATGGTAGGTTGAGTCAACTTTGAGGCCTGTCAGGATTGAACTCCAGGCTGTCAGCAGATTTTGCCTGCAATACTGAATTCTAACCACTCTGCCACCAGGGCTCCTAACAAACACTGAGATCTCATTATTATATACAGTATATATTGGTGCATGTTTCATAAGAGCAACTGCAAAGTAAGTGACATCTTCAGGTGTTGTCTTCTCATTGTTCATTGTCCCCAGATAGACAGCTGCTTTCCCATATACTGGGGGAATAAAAAAAAAGAAAGAAAGATAAAATGGACGGTTGCATTTTGCAAAAGGAAACAAAAAGAATGCAAATGTAAAGAAGAGTGGGGAAAACTAAAGGAGAGAAATGTTGTAAATATATTCAGATCAAAGATTCACTGTACTTTCCTGAAACACAGAAGCTTGATTACTAATGAGAATAAGAAACAGAAAAATGCTACTCATTTTACCTTGAATCTGCACTGGACTGAGAAAAAAAAAAGTGTATATAGTATTCGAAGTTACTGCCACTAAGGGGAGCTGTACAATAGCTTCCAGTCATTCTATGCAGCTGGAAACCTCTGCAGTGTTTTATTGCCTTTCCTTGTTTGTTCTTCTCTCTCTTTTTTTTCTCTCTCTCCCTCCCTCCCTCCCTTCTTCCCTCCCTCTCTCTCCTTCCCTGCCTCTCTTGTTCACTTATCAAAGAAATGAGAGAAAATGTGGGCAGGCTGGTAATGAGAGGAATTACAATTTCTACACAATTAGTTGCAATATTACATATTTCAGATGAAATTTCCATAATCCACCTAGCTTTCACAAGCCCTACGCAAAGTGGTAAATTTGACATATTCCAAAACATCTTGTGTCTTCTTTTAGGAAGCAGAAAATATCATTGTAAGATACAATGAAAAACTTTCAGGTTTTAATTTTATGATGTCTTTCCTGCATTATTTTGGTAGCTTGGGTTCCACTGCCTGGCCCTTCATCAAATCCAAACCCTGAATCGCATGATTTGCTAGTGCTGTTTCGGTTTTAGAGAATGGTGACGCTGCCTAAGGATGGCATCTACGGGGGATCCTTCACGGTCAAAAATCTTTCTGTTAGAGGAGCCTACGATGAAGATTCTGCTCTCCAGTCAATCTCATAGATCAAAAAGATTATGTAAGTACAAACCCAGATGGAGATTAATTTTGGAAAATGAAATGCCTACATGTTGCTGTTAAACTACCAGCGTACCCAAATTCTATAACGCGATAGAAGACAAATGCTTTGCAATGTATGAGGATGTAGATAAAGAAAGGCAGTTCAAATTCTTTGAAAGAATCGATTCACAAGACATAGGAGTTGTGATACAATAAATAAAAACAGATGCTATTTTTTAATCCAGGTTCATTCAGCTGCTTCAGAAGCTCCTTACGGTGCTCACATTTCTCTCTCTGTGTGTGTATCCTCAGCCATTAGTGAATTAGTTGAGCCTGACTTCTAAAGCTATAGACATGAGTACATTTTCCTGGGGCTTATCCTCAGTAAGCATTCAGGATATTGCACTGGAAATATAATAAAGAATTGGCAATCTATTGTTGATATTTGCAACCACAGCTTCTGGGTGTTGATTGTGTGGCACAAACAATTGTACCCAGTGCACGTGTAATTTTTTAAAAGTGTTTTCAAACAATGCATTTCAAAATAGCAGCTTCTTCTCCTGATTGGCAGTTTCTTATTTGCATCTGGTTGCTTGTTACCCTTCGACTTGATCAAACAGAGTTATTTGGTTCATTTATACCTTTGTCTGAGAATAGTTTATGTGGAAATTCCCCTAATATTACCCCCAGGGTAACAAAGTTACCTGGAGGAACGTTGTCCATGGGGTCGCGATGGGCCAAACATGACTTCGCAACTAACAACAACAACAAAGTTACCATGTAACAAAGTTTTTTAAAAACAAAGTTTTTAACAAAGGGACGCGGTGGCTGAGTGGCTAAGACGCTGAGCTTGTCGATCGAAAGGTCGGCAGTTCAGCAGTTCGAATCCCTGGTGCCGCGTAACAGGGTGAGCTCCCGTTACTTGTCCCAGCTTCCGCCAACCTAGCAGTTCGAAAGCACGTAAAAAAATGCAAGTAGAAAAATAGCGACCACCTTTGGTGGGAAGGTAACAGCATTCCGTGCGCCTTTGGCATTTAGTCATGCCGGCCACATGACCACGGAGACGACTTCGGACAGCGCTGGCTCTTCGGCTTTGAAATGGAGATGAGCACTGCCCCCTAGAGTCAGGAACGACTAGCACATATGTGCAAGGGGAACCTTTACCTTTACCTTTAACAAAGTTTTGGATAGGATAAGCTTAGAGAGAGAGTATCAGGCTTTGAAAGTTCCTTGAGTGGAAACTAAAATCTGAATGTCCCTGGTTGAAGACCAGCAAGTTAATTAATCTGCTATATCACTATATCACTTTTCCCTATATCAACAGGGATTTAAATGCAGATTTAAATAAAATCTGCATAAAATCCCCCAAATAAAATTCTCTTATTTCCATGAAATAGCAAGAACTTTAAGAACTGGGCATACACAGCCACATTTTCACTGCTGCTTTCCAATTATGGTCTCCAATTTAAAGGATGTGTAGTTGGAAAAAGAAGTACACAGAGATCCTTTCAATGGGCTCTGTCATCACTATTCCCTTGTCCTTTTCTCAAACTACATTACTTCAGAGAGTACCATATTGTCAAAAGCTCCTGATCATGTGCATTTCTTTTTCTAATGTATTGCATTATATCTTAGCTAAAGAAAATACATAGGAATTGTGGTTTAATGGTTGAGCGCATGCTTTGCATGCAAATTCAGCTTTCTGACTACAACCCTGGACTGGTTAGCATTCTAGTTCTGGAGGAACAATGGCTTGATCAAAAGCTGAGTTCACACTTAGCATACATTGTGCCAAGCCATAAATCATGGTTTATCAATCTCTAATGGTTAGGCTTAAATAATGTGTTAAAACCATGCCTCCAAAAATGTTTGAAGACTTAATGCAAAGTGTAAACAGGCCTATTTAGCCTTCAGCAGCTGCAGCAGTCCATACCTATACATTCATCTCCATAACAGTACAGGATTTTCAGGACTTTTATAAACTTTATAAACACCGACTTTAGGATTAGGTACAAGGCATTCAAACACAACTAGCAATTTGCAAAAGCATTCAAATAAAAGCATTATTTCATTTGGCAAGACATTTACAAAAAAGAAGAAACATGCCAAGATTATATGTACTGCAAAAGTAAAAGAAAGTGAAGAGTTTCAAAATAACCATTTGTACGATAACTATCTTACTGGTATAATTTGTATTTTTTTTAAATTGGAAGCTATTTTGCATATCAATGGAGAAAAGCGGGATTATCGACAGCACTGGTTTTGTCTACCTTCTCAGCCATCCATTTTAGAAAACTACATCTCTATCTATAGAGTGTCATATATATATATAAATCGCTCAGCTCTGTTGAGTGTCAAAGCCAGAGCATCCAGAAGTATATCAGTAAGTTGGCACTCAAAAGTGACCTGCTGAAAGAATGCCTGAAGCAACAGCAAACATGGGAGGAAGATCAGGCAAAGGAAGTGTCATGGCAAGATAAGATAAGGTAAGATAAGATAAGATAAGATAAGATAAGATAAGATAAGATAAGATATAAACTAAGCTAAGCTAAGCTAAACTAAGCTAAGCTAAACTAAGATAAGAGATAAGATAAGATAAGATAAGATAAGATAAGATAAGATAAGATAAGGATATAAGCTAACCTAAACTAAGCTAAGATAAGATAAGATATAAACTAAACTAAGCTAAGCTAAGCTAAGCTAAGCTAAGCTAAGCTAAGATAAGATAAGATAAGATAAGATAAGATAAGATATAAACTAAGCTAAGCTAAGCTAAGCTAAGCTAAGCTAAGCTAAGCTAAGCTAAGCTAAGATAAGATAAGATAAGATAAGATAAGATAAGATAAGATAAGATAAGATAAGATATAAACTAAGCTAAGCTAAGCTAAGCTAAACTAAGCTAAGCTAAGCTAAACTAAGATAAGAGATAAGATAAGATAAGATAAGATAAGATAAGATAAGATATAAGCTAACCTAAACTAAGATAAGATAAGATAAGATATAAACTAAACTAAGCTAAGCTAAGCTAAGCTAAGATAAGATAAGATAAGATAAGATAAGATAAGATAAGATATAAACTAAGCTAAGCTAAGCTAAACTAAGCTAAGCTAAGCTAAGATAAGATAAGATAAGATAAGATAAGATATAAACTAAGCTAAGCTAAGCTAAGCTAAGCTAAACTAAGCTAAACTAAGCTAAACTAAGCTAAGCTAAGTTAAACTAAGCTAAGCTAAGCTAAGCTAAGCTAAGCTAACTTAAGTAAGATAAGATAAGATAAGATAAGATAAGATAAGATAAGATAAGATAAGATGGGATACAGTCGACAAATAACTGAGGTGGCAGGCATTGGGGAATCCAGTGCCTGGAATGGGCTGAACTAAAAGACAGCACTGAGGCACTGATTGTAGCACCACAAGAAGAGGCACTAAGCACCAGATCCATCGAAGCAGGAGTCTACCACACTAGACAGGCTCTGCAGACTATGCAAAGGGGCCTCAGAGACACTCCAACATAGAATGGCAGGGTATAAGATGAAGACAGGAATAGCATATACTAGTGATGGCGAACCTTTTCGGCACTGAGCAGCTAAAAGGGAGGGAGCGAACATGCATCAACTGCCAAAAAGGGAGCACTTTGCGCTTGTCTGGGCCGAGACCAGGAATAGGAGTTGCCCAGGGGGCATGCACGCACCAGAAAATGTACTTCCGGTTTCTGGCGCATGCATGCGTGCTGGCTGGCAAATCTTCAGGTTACTGCTGCACATGCGAACACACCGATCAGCTGGCGAGTACACATGCTCATGCTGGAAAATGGAAGACCAGCTCTTCTGGTTTCCGGCACTGACGCAAGCACAAAGGCCAGCTGATCATCACGTGTGCATGCGCCCCAGAAACCTGGAAAAGGAATGGGTGATGCCGCTTGTGCCACTTCGGGCACACGTGCCATAGGTTCGCCATCATGGGCATATACTGAATGGCACTGTCAGGGTTCCAAGTAACAGACCCAACAAAATTAAAGCTCTGAGGCCTGGAATTTCCTCAAAATAAATTTTATTAGGAATGCCATCTTGGCACAGTTGGTGAAAACCTGACTCTGAAGGACCTGAGGTTTTCCCCACCCAAATCAAAACCCAAAGTTCATGCCCCCCCAGGTCACACATCCATTACATGGCCCAATCAGGTCACAGTCCTCCTCCTGCTGTCTTTGGATCATACCTTCCAAGCACCTGGCGGGTATGACCTTGGCTCCCATGGGAAAGAATTGTTGTGGCTCCGTTACCTGAGCCTGTGTCATCGGCAGGAAAGGATTCCGAGAGTGAAGAAGAGGAGTTGGCAAGGCCTCCCTCTCCAGGACCTTCCTCTCTGACAATGCCTTCGGTGTCCGCTGAAGGGCAAGAGATAGGGCTGGGGCCAAGCACATCCACGCAGCCACAGATGGACAATGATGAGGGTAATGAGTCTTGGCTGGATCCATGCCAACGTCACAGAGATAAGCGCGCGCAACAGAAGAAAGGGCATGCCCAAGATTAGGCTGAGTCACTGGACCACACCCACAGGATATAAAAGGGAGTGTAGTGGCCAGTCAAACCTTGTGACGAACAAAGCTGAAAGCTTCCACGCCATTCTGCATTGCCGGACTTTTGCTATAAGACTTAGCTGGACTATCTCTGGACTTGATTACCTCCGTAATTATTGAGCTGTTTCTTTGGATGTATCAGAAGTGGGGAGAAGTTATCTCTCCTCTTTGTAAATAATAAACTCTTGGCAGGCAGCCACTAGGTTGTTGCCAAGTTCCGTTATCTTAAGGAAAAGGATTTTGCTGGCTGGTTTGGTCTTTAACTCCTGAACGTCTGTTGGTGTGTGTGCGTGTGGTTGGGGACAGAACAAGAATGTTATTTTGGCTACACTTCTCCCCGCCCCAGCTATCTCTATCTCCCCCCTTCACATTCCCACAGCTGCAACCTGCCTTGCTGTGGCAGCCCTGAAGATTTCCAAAATGGATTCAGGGCTGATAGGCACAATCATATGGGAACATTTGCATAGTGTATGGGTTAGACCTTCCCAAGTCCAGAAGGCAGGTTCCACAGAAGGTTATAGAAAATAATATAGCTAAGATTCTGTGGGACTTCCAGATTCAGACAACCAGGCAGATACTGGCCAATTAGGCAGACACTGTGATAGTCAACAAGGATCAGAAGACAGCAGTGGTGATAGATGTAGCAGTGGCAAGTGACAGCAACATCAGGAAATAGAATGAGAAGTTGGAGAAGTCTGGGCCAGAAGGAGGAAACCAGGGACAATGTGAAAAGTAAAGGCCAAAGTGGATCTGGTGGAGCACTCAGGGCTCTGCAACTTAAATTGGGCGAGTGGCTCCAATAGGAAAACATGTAAAACCCATACTACTTTTTTCTTTTTATGTTAACAACAATTCAACAATTCTAGGAAGAACCACTAGAAATAATATAGGATCCAAACTGGATCACTCAACAGGACCAGAGGCTTAGTCTTCCGAGCTTTTGGACTCATGGTGGAATCCATCCTCAGGGAATTTCTCTCTCCCCAGAATGTCCAGCAGAGAAAAATTCCTCAAAGATGGGATCCAGCATGAGTCTGAAAGCTCAGAAGACTAAACTTCTGATCCCAATGACCAACCCAGGTTGGATCCCACAACATTATCCTGCAACACACATATTTACCTTCATGAGAAATAATACATTCATTAAGTCTGTAGAGATTATCCGTCATCCAGGTCATAGTTGTCCCAAAGGTGCTTTTTCAGGAGGCAACTGGACTTCCTTGGTTTTTTCTTTTGAAGACGTTTCGCTTCTCATCCAAGAAGCTTCTTCAGCTCTGACTGGATGGTGGGGAATGGAAGGATTTATATTCCTTACAGACAGCTGATCATTTGCATCCTTCAGAGGGTCATTGAAACACTCAGAGGCTTATCTGTGTCCTCCGAGTCACCTGAGTGGTGCTCCTGGTTCCTGTAGTCTGCAATTTTTCCTCTGGAAATCAATTCCTACTCCCACTCCATTCAAAGGATGTTCATCCCAAATTGTATAGCTAAAAGTCTGTAGAGATTCTCAGTCATCCAGGTCATGGATGTCCCAAAGGTACTTTTTGAGAAGGGTTTTTCTCTTGAATGGAATCCTTCCATTCCCCACTATCCTGTCTAAGCTGAAGAAGCTTCTTGGATGAGAAGTGAAAAGCCTTCAAAAGAAAAAACAAGGAAGTCCAGTTGCCTCCTAAAAAAGAACCTTTGGGACATTCATTATTTTTAAAGGTGTGCATATCGTATCTGATCCACCTTAATATAGTGTTTCATTTAATCAAGAATTAACACTTTAAGTTGATAAAATGAAGCTCCCCACAGAGGCAAATTGTGCATCCCAACAAAAGAAGCCGCACTATCTCAACAAACACTTGGGATAGGAGGATTTCCCCCATCTCCCTTGGCTGATCTCCTCCACTGCTACTAATGAACTAGTAACATACAACCATTCCACTTTGACATTAAGAGATGGGCAGTGCTTCGCATGGTTTTGCCTGAGAAATTGCTTTGATTGAATGTCTGTGTGATCCCATGCTGTTCTCTTTGGCAGCTGAGCCAAATTCTCGTTAGGGCAAGTCATGTATTTTGAAATATTGCAATTCTAATGGAGTCTGTGGATGGTTCATTTACTGGGTTTTTTTTTGGTTGGGAAAAAAGGACTCTCACCACACACCTGCCAGGACCTTGGTTTTTGGTTGTTTATTCATTCATTCATTCATTCATTCATTCATTCATTTATTTATTTATTTATTTATTTATTTATTTATTTATTTATTTATTTAATTTGTATACCGCCCTTCTCCCAGAAGGGACTCAGGGCGGTGAACAGCCAAAATTAAAAATACAGACAATACAAAAGTTAAGATAATTAAAAAGAATTAAATCATTGGCTTCCCAATTTAAAACCCCCAAGTCTATAAAATTTAAAATCCCAATTAAGAACCATTTAGGCTAGGTCGACTTGGTGGAATAAATAAGTCTTCAGGGCCTTATGGAAGGTACGGAGGTCCGGGATCAGTCGTATTCCAGGAAGCAGCTCGTTCCACAGGGCGGGTGCCCCCACAGAGAAGGCTCTCCCCCTGGGGGCCGCCAACCGACATTGCCTGACTGACGGCACCCTGAGGAGGCCCTCTCTGTGAGAGCGTATTGGCCGGTAGGAGGTTATCGGTAGCAGCAGGCGGTCTCGCAAATTTAAAGCAGGCGGTCTTTTGAAGAGAAATGTGGGGTTCTTGTTGCAGTCTTTCTTTCTGCAATTATTCCTGGCAAAAAAAACTCTTTAGTAGTTGGATATGAGGGGCTGCAAATAAAGCAATTTATTTTCTTAATTTATCTCGGAATAGAGAGGGAAGAATTTTTTTTTGCTTCTGCAGCTCTATGGCAACTGGGTTGATATACTGATGGCTTACTTCTTGTTCTTCATTATTTCAGGACCAGCTGAAGAGATGATGGATGCAGCTTGTAGAATAGGGATCTTGTACAAACTGGTTTTGACAGCCTGGAGACTGGAAACAGTAACAGCTGGATGTATCATTAATCTGCCAAATACTGATGCAGTGGTCTGTTTTACTGCTTGTGTGGTACAAGCTTCTGAAATGTTAAAGTATGCGTATGGTATGTTTTCTTTATTCACAAGCTAAAATGTTTTCATCATATAAGAAATCCAAAGCCGCTTTGCTAAATGACATATTAATAAAACACATTTTAGGAGTGGCTGAAAACATTTTGCTGCCCAAAGCAAAATACTGTATAACATATTACATTGTACAATTCCAGATTCAAAAACTGATCTTACTGGCAATTTAATATTTCGTCAAGATATACAATGACTAGAGGCATCCATAATATGCCACCATGAAGATGAAATTATAATGTCATAGATAGATAGATAGATAGATAGATAGATAGATAGATAGATAGATAGATATAGACGTAGACGTAGACGAAGACGTAGACGTAGACATAGACATAGACACATAGACACATAGACACATAGACATATACATACATACATACATACATACATACATACATACATACACTCTTTTGTAATCTGTTATTACCTCTGATGGTCGACCAATTTAATCTTAAGTGCTTTTCCAGTTAGGCAAGGTAATAACTTAGCTACCCACTTTGTTCAGAACTGAAGAAGCTTCTTGGATGAGAAGCGAAACATCTTCAAGGAAAAACAAAGACCAGTTGCCTTATGAAAAAGGAAACCTTTGGGACAATGACCTGGATGACTGAGAAGCTCCATAGACATCTAGCTACCCACTCTTCTTCTGTTCATTTATAAGCTATAGAAACTCTCTCAAAGTTAATGAAAAATGATTCTATATGTCCCTTCTCTATGGGTTTTGGAGTGTGTATCATATGGAGTCTTTTCTTTGCTACCCAGAAACTGGATTTGGAGATTCTGGTGTTTCTCCATCAAATGGCTGTTTTCCTTTGAAAAGCTCTATAAACTCCATGATTGTCGTGCCCCAGCATATAACTTTATATAATGTTGTTGCTCTCTAGCCCCATCTAGTGGCTGGAGAGACAAATACCAAATATATTGTTGGAAGCTGACCCCACCCCATTACCCATCAGCCCACACTCTCAAAACAAGTCTGTGTGCTGGGAAGCCAGACTGGAATGAGTTAATTAATCAATTAATCCCCCATCATTACTAGAATTCCTACTTTAATGTTCATGGGCTTAATTATATCTATGAGCAATTGCCTAGGGACTTACCAGGCATCCTGTCCTACCTATTATTTTTTATTAAGATCGTTTCATGCAAAAAAAAATTTTTAAAGATGAAAGAGAGGTGTCTTAGATATTCTTAAAAATAGTGGATGGTTGCAACCAACTACTTTGTCTAGAAGTCTGGTGAAGGAATTGCTATAGGTAGCCAAGTTAATATATGCACAAATAAGTGTATCATCAATGAAATAATAAAAAAAAACCTCAGTAAACTTTGTTAACAGGTAGATAACATTAAACATTAAACATCCCACAAAGCCTTTAAATCAGGGGTGGGTTCTACTTACCTTTACTACCGGTTCGCAGCGGCGCCGCGTGCGTTCCTCTGCGCATGTGCAGAAGTATTTTGATGACGTCGGGGTCAGTGGGCGGAGCCTCCCGCCGGTTTTACTACCGGTGGGAACCGGGGGCAACCCACCACTGCTTTAAATCTATCCTAAATTAACAGGTTTTCTATTATGTATTTATCTATCTACAGATATCTATCATTTCTAAAATGGTTTGACTGAACCTGTATTGATCTTAATAATAATCCATCCTTCCTTCCTTCCTTCCTTCCTTCCTTCCTTCCTTCCTTCCTTCCTTCCTTCCCCTCTCTCCCTCTCTCTTTCTTTCTTTGTGGATCTTAAATGGGTCCCATTTGTATCCCATTTGTTGTATACCTTCACAGTATTCTAATAACATATTCACAGAGTTCTGTTGGAAAGATACCCATATATAGTCTTGTTTCCACATTAGATTACATACATTTTTTTACCGGTACACAATCCATCAACATCTTAGAATATTAAAAAAAATATATCATCTTTCCTGTATCAGTGGCTGTATTATCATTCATTGCAAAGATGGATGCTGGTACATAAATACTGTACAGAAAAAAATATTTCACTTTTTGATACCCTCAAATATTTAAAATTGTTTTTCAATTATACACCATATGTCTTTTGTCTTGCTTTTCAGTCTTGTAGCTTTATACTCTTCTCTTCATCCATGTCCTTCATTTGCCTTTTTTCCTCTGTTTTGATCTATTTATTTCTACAGATGTGGCAGTCTTACAACTTTGTTATTCGGTTTCAATTGTCTCGGTCCACAATTGTTTTCTAAGCCTAATAATTTCAAACAGGTCCGCAAATGTTATGGAATATTCATAGAATCGCCAAATATTAGTTCTGGCAGGAACATTGACAAGTGTCTCCTAATGTCTATTTACCTTCAAACAATCCTTAGAAATTTAACATCTCTTAGTATTTAACTGAAATCTTGTCACCTGTCACTTCCATCATTTTGTTGTAGGTTCTGCCCTTTGGAGGAACAAGGAGAGTCTACCCCATGTTTCATATGACAACCCTTCAAACAATTTTCTTCATTTTAGTTAAAGAAAACTTGTCAGGATTCTATGTTTAGTTAGAAAATTCCCAGTGTCAGTCTTCAGTAGAATATGTACCTACACATTCCATGTCAACAAGGAGAATAGCAGTAATGCGGGTGTGTGATGTTGTTAAGAGCTGACAAATGTTCAGAAGACATAATAGAAAGTTCTCCTCTGCTCCGTGGAATTATCAGTTTAAAGCCACCTGCAACTGCTTTATGTGATTAAAGAACCCTCAGGAAAGATAATTTTAGACCTACAAGGAAGTGTAGTTCTTCCTTTAAATGCCTTGCTTGGCTGAGGCCCAAGGACCTGAGAAGTTGGCAGAAGCTTCATCCAATTTGTTTTCACAAGCATTTTTAACCTGGGAAAACAAACTTTCCAAACTCACTCCTCAATCTGGTTTCAGTCCTAGATTTATCACCCTGCAAGGCCCAGCAAAGAGAAACCGCTGGCTTTAGAACAGCTGCTTTTCACAATCAGAGTTCCTAGAAATATCTGTGGAGATTCTCAGTCATCCAAGTCATGGTTGTCTCAAAGATGCTTTTTCAAAAGGCAACTGGACTTTATTTGTTTTTGCTTTTGATCCGAGAAGCTTCTGCAGCTCTGAATTAAGCTGTTTGAAAAAGGGCTTTGAAAGAGGGGTCAAAGAGCAGAATGGGCTTCACATAATTTTAACAACCGGTTCACCTGTTGCAGAACCAAAAATGTGAGCTTGCATGCAGCTATAAACACACGGCAATTTCCTGCACGCGGCTTCCAGCACACTTTCTCGAGCAGCCACAAGTAGAGTGGTCGAGGTGCAGAAATCAGCTGGGCTGCCTGGAGAGTGAGATATATAGGATGGGATAGTGCCAGGATGGGATAGTTCCGGGCAGGTGGGCAGTGTTAAGAAATTTGCAGAGTAGCAAGGGTGTGCACATGAAAGTGATTGAGAGTAGTTACGAATAAACACAGTCAACTTGTATTTACACAGATACACTGAGTTGTGTTTACTTTCAGGAAAATAGTAAGGCACAGTCCAATAAACATTCCAGGTCATATACATATAAAGCAGGAGATAGCCAAAACGACAGTCCAGGGATAATCCAATAACAAAGTCTTCTTACCAATCATCATAGTCATTCACAATAAACAGTTCTTCTGGACTTGCAAACAGTAGCATGCAGAGATATCAGAGAGCAAGAACAGCAAAAAAGAAGAAATCATGTTTCTAGCTCCCTCTTAAGGAGATTGGCTACAGAGCTAACCAATCAGGACACAATATGATGCAATACAGCAGTCTTAAAGCTACATTGATGGTTTATATATTGCCAACCCAACAAGTTAGGTAAAAGTCATTTCCTAACAGGCAGGCCCAGCTGGTGGTCAGAATTACTGGTTTTCCCAAACCGGTCCAAACCGGCAGCAGCCCACCTCTGTCAAAGGGGCCATCTGTGTTAAAACTGAACAGCCTCCTCTCAACAGAGGGGGAAGGATACAACACCACCTATCTCCTGTTTAACAGCACAGTCCTTCCAGCAGTTCCAAGAACATTCCACACCCATTTGCACTATTCAGATGATCCTGAGGACACAGATATAGCTCCAAGTGGCCTCAACGACTCTCAGAGAGAGTGCTAATGATCAGATGACTGCAAGGAATATAAATCCTTCCCTTCTCCACCATTCATTTGGAACCGAAGAAGCTTCCTGGATAAGAAGCGAAACAAAAGCAAAAACAAAGGAAGTCCTGTTGCCTTTTGAAAAAAAGCACCTTTGGGCGTTCTTAGAAATAAACATAATTTTGCACAATCGTTAGGTCATGAGTCTGTTTTATCACACATACATTACAAAATGCAAAAAATAAAACTGTCTTAAAATGTACAAATAAATGCAGGTCTTGAAGCTCCGTCTGCATTTTATCTTCATTTTTAACTACAACTTGTAGACACCCTTGAATAAATGTGTGACAAACTCCGAGTTGGGTAGAGAAGGAGATGCCCATTCTGGTCCCATCACTTTTTGTATTTCTTTCTAACTTTCATGCATTTCATTTGTGGTTTGAAAGAGTGGGATTTGTTTTGCTTTTGTTTTTTGGAACTCAGGTTATAATTCTATGCATAGTTCCAGACTCCAGTAAAACAGGGTTTTAGATGACACATTCAAATGAAATACGGTCTTCCTCCCAGACTGGCAAAGTAGAGGGTGAAGTTGTGTCCATGACCTTGTTTTCAACCATTTGGGAGGCCTCCATAAATTTAGATGAAAGCCTGAACAAAACTTAAAAGATGTATTCATTTGTTACCTGGCTGGCACAAAATACTTTATTGTTAGAAGCTAAAATTAAAATTATATATATGCACACTGCTTTGAATAAATGATAACTGATTCATACAGATGATTAACAAATGACAAGGGGAAGCATTTTCTTCAGCAGCTGAGAATAGCAAGGTAGAGTGATGAAACCTAGTGCAAACTCCTATTATTTGTAACTATTTTCAACATCTCACTACCAATCCCCAGAAAACTTTAGGTTTTGCGAGCGTACAGATTCCATGAACAACAGCATTGACACTTCAGTTAGCTAGCTCATATTGCTTATTTCTAGAACTTGCCAAGGACA